CATGTTATACAGCAAAGCGTCAGGGGAAGATTAGAAGGCTTTAGTCTGGCATATTTCTGGATAGGGTAGGTATGAGTACGAATATTCTCTTCACTCACGCCACCGACACGAGGTAAGTCCAGTGCTCTAGTGTCAGTTATGAAACTATTAATGACTGAGATTGTTTCGATAAAAAATTTCAGAGAAAAAATTTTTTTCACTACTTGTTACCTACATATAGCTATATACTTTTTCAAAACCACCTTGTCCATTTCTAGAAATACTGTGTGATGACAGACATAAATAGACATGTGCAGTAAAAAGAGCTGATTCAAAAAGTGCTCAATCAATACGGGTATGAACAATAACAGTTAGGCATAGTATTCAGAAATAAATTCATGGGTCAGATAAAATCAATGGACGTTATAACACATTCATGTTGATTGTTAGTATGACCGAAAAGTTAATTGATTCAGTTCTTATATGTTTGGAAGAACCAGCAGAGAAACTGAGACCACATGTTTAATGATCAATTTATTGAGCAAGTAATATTTATATTACATGTAGTAAGTTCGGAAAATTTAATAAAACACGCATTTATTATTACATTTCGTCGACGATTATAAATATAAGAATTAATGCTTTTGTTTATCGCATGAAAAGAATCACTCTTTTGTAGACATATGAACGATGGCAAATAAATAGTTTTTGAATCAGCTCTTTTTACTGCACATGTTCATTTATATCTACCATTGCATAGGATTTCTAGAAATTGGCAAAGTCTTTTTGCAAAAAGTATGTATCTATATGTAGATATCAAGTAATAAAAAAACTAGAGCACTTGACTTGACAAACCCATGTTATTTCTGTTAAAGTGCCAGAGACACACTTGGAGATCTTCTCTTGTTAGACTAAATATATTTTTCAAAAGAATCAACATGTAATTCTCAACAAATCTGTATATTTTATTTAACAACTGTAACTTCATCTATTTTTTTTTGCCATTAGTTAGATTCATAGAACTAGTGTCAAAAATTTACATTCTTCGCACTTTTTACCTGTTTCATTAATAAATAAACGTGATAGCTCTACGGATTTAGGTTATGCTTTAAAAATGAATGAGGTCATATTCATTAAACTGAATCTTCTAATTTGTAGAGAATTACACGATGAATCTTTTGAAAAATAATTCAAGTCTAAGTGATGAAATACTACAAGATATAAACAGAGTATCAAAGGTTTATCTTTTTGATTTACTGATTGTTTCCTTTAATTTGTAACTAATTTTCTCATTAACACCCGGGCAGATAAGAACTTCCAAAAATATGTTAAAAAGGCACCGATTGCGGTTTCCGTTTAAGCGTTTTCACATTCATTCAGGAAACATCAAAAGCTGCGTGAAAACACTCAAACTACTTAGAACCGAGATTAGTACGTTTAAACGCGGTTTTGGGAGCTCTTGTCTGCTTGGGCAGTTCAAATTTTGCAAATTCTTCAAGAAATATACCTTTGTCTTGTTCTTGATATTTAATTCTGTTAAAAACAATGCAAAATGATTATAGTGATGGAATACTTCAATTTATATATATGTCAGCGGCTTAATGAGAAGAAGAAAGATTGAAGTTCTGAGCTGTTATCCATAAAATATGCCAAAGTAATAGGAGGGCGGGGGGAGCTAAAAGGTGGACATAGAGCAGGGCGTTACGCACTTCTGAGCATCCAGAGATATATTATGAATTTCTTCTTTTTTTCCACATAAATTTCTGCTAAATTTTGCAGCTTAATCTATTTGGAACAGTATTGTTTGAATGATTTAGTTGAATACGAATCTCATTTTCAAATTATGGAAAATTATGCTATATGAGTAACTTGTTATATGTAAACGTTGTCAGATTTTTGAGTACTGTTGGTAATGAACCATTTTTCTTTTTATATTTTTACTATTTTCTGCTCTTTAAAATCCAATTTATTTGCAAAACAAATAAATTTTAAATTCCGGCTTATTCAAGATAGCTCAAAACAAGTCTGAGATCCGAAATCAAACTAGTTCAATGTCGGTTTGACGAAATCATTTATAGAAAAACTCAAACAAGTCTCTGAATCCATCACAGAGGTAGTTTGCTTTTGGTGAACTACAATAAGACACTGATATTTCAACGAAGTCAGTGATCACTTGACGGCCTAAGTGCGAGTCCGATTAATGAAGAATCAATTTTTCATAGAAGCTGTCCTACTGTATAAAATGAATCATCATTGTTCAGATCATTCCTTAATCCAGCGTTTGATGATTGCATCAAGTAAGATACCATTGCCATATTATAGTTCATACATAACAATTTGAATCCGGCAATCATCTGAAGATTTATTTGAGCTCGGTGGTAAACTGTTTCTTAGATCTGACATTGGAGTAGTTCAATCGTGAATCTGAGATTTACTCAGACCAATTTTGAATTGAACTCAGTCCTAGATTAATCTATGACATGCATTTAATCTAGCACTCTCTTTCTGAAAATTCTTTTTGTGCTAGACGTCCAGGAACAGTCGGGGGGATCAAAAACTTCGATTTTTACCTAGACGACCTAAATAGATGGTCTCAAAGAAAATTTTTATTCAAGTACAATGTAATATACAGAGTATTGCAGGTCAAGAATATGTTATTAATTGCAATAGAATATATTCTGAATGAATCGATCAGGAATCAGATAAAAATTTCTAGTATGTGAATAGTCTACGAAAGATAGCATTGCGAAAAATAAGAAGACGTAGAAATTGAGAACTACAGCAGTAGCTTGTTTATTTCTGGATTACTAATCAAATCTGTGACATAAACTTCGAGTGAATAAGTCTTTGAAATATAAAAAGCTTCATAATGTATTTTTCTATACATAGCATAGTTCTTTGAGTTTCAATTTATATCGACAACAAAGCATTGCAGTACAAACTAAGTGTTCAAGGAAGGTGATACACAACATATATATATATATATAAATTAATAAGGTATTAAAAAGATATTTGCTTTCATTCATACTAAATATTATCATAGATATCCTCCACCCGCTCTTCTTTCTTTCGGTTTGTTAGTGCTCAAGAAGCAAATTTGACTCATTGTCTGTTCTACATTTCTCAAACATCATCGTTGTAGGATCGCAGTAATTCTTCTTGTTCCTATCATATCATAATATTCTTTTTCCTTTTATATCATAATAAATCAAGAATTTTATACGAATATGTCAACAATCCAGTTTACAAGTAATTTAATACTTCTTATCGTTTAATAAACCAAAATTGTTATTTTTTAAAATCTGTTTAGTTATATCCGATCAACATGGCATATTTAATGGCAATTCTTCCTCCTATTCAAATAACCCATTAAATTGTTGTATCTCAGAATCTCAATATTTACGTATAATATCGAAAATTAATGAACGAATTAAAAGATTCAGTACTCGAAAGAATGTATTGTGTTGCATTGGTATGAAAATATTTACAATTATACTATGCGTCATAATCATGATTTTTGGCATTTTCCTGATGAAATCATTGACACTGAGTGGCGCTTCTCAGTTTATAATATTTGTGTAAGTATTTATGAGGAAAAGGAAAATATTTTAAGTATTTGCTTATATATACATACATATGTAAGTAAATCGCATACCAATTGTACGATTGGAATAAAAAAAAAAAATTTTTCATATAAAAAAATTTGGATCAATATTTTGGTAGCACACCTTTAAAAGTTAAAAAAAAACATAATTTCCTTGTAGCTTTACTCAAAAATAAGATTGACGATTGAATAGCAAAATTGTGTATATCCAGTTTCACGATAATTCGTCCAAAATACTTTGTAATTTTAATAAAATGAAATAAGTTATATACTGAACTTTTGAGTACCATTGCTCAACTAATGCATGAAATTTCTATGAATTTTTCTATTTAAAAAATGGATACTGTGTATTACGGATATTTTCATCAGAACTCTTTAAAAAAATCTTTGAAGTCATTTTCGACCCATGTTCGTACTTCCTAACAAGATGGCAAAGAAGTATTTTTGTCATCTTCTTGCGAAGTACAGATGTGGATCGAAATTCGATTGAGAAGTGTCGTAAAATCAACCTTTTGAATATTATCAGAAATTACTTCAACCTTGATTCCAACATGGAAACCTGAAATATTTTGGGATCTGCAACAAGGCATTATTCTTCCTTCTTCTTTTTGTGATAGAAATGATATTACAAAAAATTTACTAGGTTTATTACCTGAGTGACCTCATTAGGATTATAATTCTTATATAGATGTATATAATCGAATTTTCTTCTACGTTATACAGAAAACTTCAATTCGATATCATTTCGCGTTCGCGAGTCCTTGAACAATTAATAAATGTGAAGTGTCCTTTATTCAACACATTGTTATTCAAAGAGTTAATAGATGTAGCTTAGTAAGATCTACTGAACAATTTGTGCTTGAATGTTGAAATAAATGTAATAGATAAAAAATGTTATGCCCAAGAAAGGTTTGCATTAGATTAGCATACTGATGACGAATTGAATGATAAATAATAACTTTATGTTGAGTTCCATTTGACTGGACTATTCAACCTTTTACATGACAAAATCGTTTGAGAGTAAAGAAAATATGAGATACCTATAAAGTCCTCATTTTGCATTTATCTGTCTATTAAAAGCGATAATTTCCTAAAGTTAGGTGCTATTTACCTGTATTTTTTTTCTAGCTGATTTTAATAAATAGAATGCGAGTATAGAGTAGATTGCTAGAATTTCAGAATCGTATGGCATCACTAACAAGAATATTATATGAAATTTTCAAATCAGTTAATGATTATAAACAAGACATATGAACCACTTAATTGCTGATGGTATAATTGTACAAGTAGTATGAGATTCATCCTTATGCTATAGTTAAACTAAGAATTCAATCAAATGAATAAATTCTATGATAACTATAGCATTTTACTAACGAAATGTTTCTTCTTATTTTGTCACAGATCGATAATTTGTCTTATGTGTTGCTCTGGCGGTGTTGGTCTTGCTGCTTCTGCTGAATTTTATAGTGAAACAAATTCGAGACTATTAGAAAAACTACAATCTGATATACAAACAATTGCAGTTGACGAAATTATTAATATTGATCAAATAATTTCTACCAAATGGACCATAGAAAAGCTTGATAATAGAGCGTCAAGCAAAATATTTAGAGTACGTATGCGTTTACTGAATAATGTTTTTACTATCTTCAAAATCTTTACTACAAACTCGAAACTGCTTATGTTTTTCAAAATCACTACAGTGTCTTTTCTTAGTTGACTATAGTATTTCGTCTTCAACAGCAAAGAGCTGCATTAACAACAGTACCTTCTGTACGCGAATCAATTGATGGAAGATCAATTCGGTTGTATCCATCTGCTGAAACTTCAACTGCTTTTGTTGTTTTACCAGATCTTGAACAAGTCACAACGCCATTAGATAATGAACAATACTCTCAACATGTAATTACTCCAGCTACCCCTCCACCACCATCCTATTATAAAGTCATTAATTCATTTTCACAAGGAATCTTTAGTGATTGTCCAAAATGTAATAATCAAAAATGTGTATTTAATGCAAATTATTGTACACAATGTGGATATTCATTATTAACTGTGACAGATTCACCGTTCACACACTTATCGCTGTGAGTAATTGCTCTCTGTATCATCATTTTCTTCTCTATGCTCTACTTTTTATTCCTCGCTTTCTCATATATATATATATATACATCTGTTCGTGTATCGTGTATCAGTCATTCTTGGCGCGTCCTTTCTCTTCTCTTCTATTTCATCATCTTTACCTTGTATTTCTTCAATGAATATATCAAAAAAATAAACCACAAACACGTAAAAAACCGCCTTATTACTCTAATGCATCTGAAAAATATGTTCAATGTTTTTTTTCCATCTGAATGCATTTATTTTGATATTGTATGTGTCTCTGTGAACAAGTATAATCATTTTTATTATTTTGGCTCTTATATGATTGTCCTAATTAGAGTGGGTATGGATGTCAGAGTTGAGTGAAGAATCACATCCACACTTACACCCATCCTTGTCTACTTAAATTGAAGATAATACTTGTGATTGTTGCAGGCTACTGGTGCTCGCATTAGATCTTGGTACTGGAATTATTCTAGCATTCATCTATGGTTGGTCATTAACATTACTCATGTTACCTTTTATTCCTCTTATGATTATTTGCTGGATTTTTACAAATATATTTCATGACTGAGTTTGGTGATAAAGAATGTTTAGAAATGAATTCGAATGAAGCAATATTTGTTGTATATTTTTGTAGGACAAAAGCACCGTAGGAAATGCTAGAAAGATTCGTAATTATCTGAAAATGAGAAGTGAAATAACAGTTTGTAGGGTATTCAACAAGTTCTTTTATTGATGACATACGAGTGTGAGTGTGGGTACATATCGGACAGATAGCTCAATGACCAGAACAACCCTCACACACTCAAGATGTGGAAGAGTGCACCCTTGCCCTCCTCTCCTCTAAACGATCAAAAATTTTCAGTTTTTTTCAGCAACAAGAACAGGTTTTGTCTACATTTTATGTTTTTTCCGCAAGATTCTCATCGAAATACTACTTTACACCGCGCTCCAATATTTGGTTCTTCGTGCGGACACTATGCACATACCGTGTCATAATTCTCTTTTTTTTTGCTACTAAGGAACTATTGATTTACAATGCATACCTAAGTGGTTGCTTTTACGTACACAGAAGAGGATGAGTAAATAATCGACAAACGATTCATGCTTTTAACTATCAGCAGTCGCTTTTTTCTAACTTGTAGAATAAACAAAGAACACACTAAACACAATATTCACTATGGTGTTGTTTCA